GCAGGTGAGTTCGGGCGAAAAGCAGGTGAGTTCGGCAAAAAGCAGGTGAGCTCGACGACAAGCTCACCTGCTCTAAACCAATCAGAAAGCCGCTTTTAACACAGGTATGGGATAGAGAGATTGAACGCACCTCCTCGTAGCCCGTAGGAAAGCTGCTAATACGCTAGGTATAAGATAAAACTTTAGAACTATATATTGACATTAATAAGGGTCAGAATAAACTACATTAGTCACTACTCTAAAACAATCTTAGGGTGAAGTTAATTTTCTGCTTATTTTCTTTACCTTTGAACAGATAAAACTAGGACAATCCAATCAGTTTATATAAGTTGCTGATAGAATTAACCATACTGTATAAATATGCAACCAGCTGGTACCTGCATGAACACCGCGAAAAAACGTCTGCGCATGCGTCAACCTTACCTCAGGGCCTTTTTTAAGGATTTTCCCATGGGGGGGCATTTTTTGAAAAGGGACCTTTCTGTGAGATAATATATTAGAGGGGGATAGCAATGGCTAAAAGCCACGTGTGTGGCAAATATAGCATGCATGAATGGGGGGTCTGGGGGTGTACTCCCCCAGAAAATTTTTGAAATTTGACTCCCGGAAATGTCATTTCCTGCATTCTGAGCATCCAAATTTGCTCCAAAATTTATCCTAACTATACTTGTATTTGAAATAAATAAAGGAAGAAACACACAAAAAGTAAAAAAAAATAACCATCATTTATCATTACTTATTAGAGGAGGATAGCAATGGTCAGGTGTGTGGGGGTGTACTCCCCCAGAAAATTTTTGAAATTTGAACCACGGAAATGCCATTTCCTGCATTCTGAGCATCCAAATTTGCTCTAAAATTTATGCTAACTATAGTTGTATTTGAAATAACAGATGGAAAAATGCACAAAAAGTAAAAAAGAATATTAACTGTAATTTATCATTACTTATTCGGAGGGATAATCCCAAGAAAATTTTTGAAATTTGAAACCGTGAAATGCTATTTCCTGCATTCTGAGCATCCAAAAAAATAAAAAAAAATATTAAAAATAATTTATCATGGCTTAGTGGTAAAAAGAGTAACAATTTAAATCGATTTTGTTAAACAAGAACAAAGGATAAAGCCTAAAATTACTTTCCGTTTATCTATTTGTTAATCTTCGCTGGATTGTTTGTATAATTTTAGGAAAAAGGGACTTTTCCTGGGGGGGCAAAATGTGATTTCGTGGGGGGGCACAAGGGGGGACTGGGGGGGCAAATGCCCCCCCCCCCCAGCTTGTATGTTAAAAAAGGCCCTGCCTTACCTGTAATAGTATTGCGAACTTATTGCGAACTTGATGAGAATCTGTTCCGAACGTTTCCGAAGGCTCAAAACGGCGGTAAAAAGGAGTGACTTCATTGTACGTCTTTACAGCCAGATTTCGAGCGCAAAAATAAACATGTCATTCTAAAAACTAGGAATAAATACAGCCAGAAGGTTCAAGAAATTGTATTGTACAAGAACATGAACTAAAGGTGATTGTTGACAAATTTATCGTCTGGAACATTTTGTTTATCAACTAAGCAACGACAATTTCCGAATTTTCGTTTGAGATACATTTCTTTAAAAAAAACTGTGTCGCCAAATATAAAAAATTTTCGTGTTCACAATAATTAAACTTTAGGATTTATTCTACAATTTGAGTGGGTAAAGAAGCTTAACTTTTCGAGAGTTTTCTTAAATTTTTAGTTTGAATTTTTGTTTTGAATAATTTTGCAAACATTTTCGAAGTCGTGTCCGTTAAAATCAACAATTTTTTACATGAATTATATTTCATTCCATGCTTTAAATGCCAGGACGCTTTCAATTAATGTTTAGTCTACCCATTTGCTATATTTTCTCGTTTGTTTTACTAATTTTTGACCAATTAATAAGCATGTTTTTGTTTTAGAAATTGATATTCGAATTCCCCGCCATATTTTCATAATTCGGTGCATGCGCAGACGTTTTTCCGCGGTGTTACCTGCATGTGGTTCTAGAATTCTATTTTATCCTAATTTGGTGAATATAGTGACCATGGGTGTTTTAATTCATGATGAGCTCTTTGTCTGGTCGACGCAGTGACGGTGAAACGAATTGACATGTTTCCAACTCTGATAAATGGCGATTGATTATATACCCTCTGCTGCACAATTGTGCAGGAAACCTACTTATACCGCATTATTAACGATCAACTTGAAAACTATGAGAGCACCGAAGCGAATTGAGCAATTTGAGCTAGATTTCTCACGATACTCTAGATATTTACTACATAGTCATGGCACCAAATTGACTAAAAGAATTAAGATTCTTCCTCACTCTGATAACTATAGCCGGTAACTATCATCGACTGCGTATAAATTTCAAGCTAAATTATTCCATTGATGCATTATTGTTCATACCTTTTTTGTAACAAGGACGTTTACAGGTTTCAGATCTAAGTGGGCGACATTCTGCTCGTGCATGTATTCCAGAGCACTCGCAATCTCAAAGGCCAAACGAATCCTTCGAGCATCGTCTATAATCTCTTCCGGATCGTCTAACAAATGCTGTAGAGTCTTGTTCTCAATATACTCCATGATTAAAAACGGCGAATCTTCGATTGTCGTCGCTTGCGAAACGACAAGAGTCCGTACGATGTTTGGGTGGTTGAAATTCAGCACTTCGGGGCGAGTTTCCGAGCGAAAACTCTGCATTGCAGCCTTCTTGTTTTTGGTGTTTGTGTGTAGCTGTTTCATGGCTACAGTTTCACCTTTGTAGTTAGCTTCGTATACGGTGCCAAAACCTCCGGAACCTAACATGCGGCCGATTTTCAAATCGCTTAAACACGCATATCCAATTTCTGGCATCTTGTATAAAAGTTGTTGGATACGTAGGACAGCCAAGCATTGAGATTAAAAATTTACACACACGGTGTATATTGCAAAAGAACGGGTTAAAAATATTTCAAACACACACACAAAAACGTACACAAAAATATAGGTCTTCGTTCGTTCGCAGTTGAAGCGAAATGACGGAGAATGCTGTTGTGTAAAAAGATTTGAATATCCCAAATTTGAATAAGCAGAACTGATAAAAATATGTACAAAACTTTAATATACAGGGTGTATCAAAAAAAACGCAACCTCGGAATTTCCCAAGAAATCGACATTGTTTTGAAGACAAAAGATTTTAGGCGCCTGGGAATTTAAAATAGCACAACTGTCAAAATTACTGCACACGCGAGTGCATAAAGCAAAATTTATGCATTTATTTAATCACAACAACAGTAATATGATCTATTAGCAATTCGATTTCAATTCCCAGGGGCCTAAAATCTTTTATGCTTAAGAATTGCAAAGTGATTTCTTAGGAAATTCCGAGGTTGCGTTTTTTTTATACACCCTGTACAGGGTGTCTCAAAAAAACTGCTACCCTTGGAAATTCACCATTGTTCTAATTTGAATGCCTGAGTGCTATCTTGAACTCATGGGTAATTTAAGACAATAAATACTCTTTGCTCTGTGCTCAGTTGAGCCATTTGCTTGACATTCACTAATATGTAATTGAACGATTTTCGTGCAGTTATACTTTTGTATGAACTATTTTCAATTCCCAGGATAACAAATTTCGCTTTTCAAGGATATTTTAATTCCGAAGATCTTTAATATATGCATCCTGTGAAAATGTTTACGCATTCATGGCTTCAACAAGGTTCAGGCATTCAAATTAGAACAATGGTGAATTTCTAAGGGTAGCGGTTTTTTTGAGACACCATGTACTGTAGACTTTTGCAGAAGCTTAAAATATGTACAAAACAATGAGTGACTGGATGGCATGGAGATCAGTGGAATTTTCAAAACAATGAAAAGACAGTGCCAGTGGAACATTACGGTCACTAAATCGTGACTGGATATAGCGATATTGTTGTGCAGGAATTTGTGCCAGGTTTTATGCAAAATCTTCTTTTGTTAGTGAATGTACAGGGTGTATCAAAATAAACGCAATTCATCTTTTGTGCTTAATAACTTTCGAAATACTATTTCTAGTTAAACGCTTTTAGGCTTACTTCAAAGCCTGTTCTTTTCTCTTTCAAACAAACTATTATCCTTGTCTCCAATGCTAGTAATAATTGCACAGGAAAAGATTTAGTAAAACCTATCATTTTTAGTTGCTGTTTAATTATGCAAGTTTACTATGTTATTGTTTAATCGGTTTAAATGTTAGAATTTTCTTCTTTAAACTTTAATGTTGTCGTCACTACATCTGGAAAACCACGTAAGAACAAATTAAAAGTATTTTAAAAGAGACCAGGTTGTTTGAAAATCCTAAACGAATGCTAAAAATCGTCAAACATTCTGGTGTCTGAGCCAGAGTGTCATCGAATTGCGATGTAATGTAAACAGAAATTATAGCAAGTTGATGTCAGTCAGCTTAGATGGTCCAAGCCAAAATTATATCGCATTTGAAGTTTCAAACTGAGTTAAAAATAGTGGAAGAAAAGCCGTAATTATACTTAATATTGTTACAATCCATTTAATAAAATGCAACATTTTTTTGTTTTAATGAAAAAATCAGTTATTTTCATGAGAACGATTTGTTATTCCATCTCAATTTTTTAATCTCCAATCGCAATAACGTAAAGTATTATTACCCGCGAACCAATGAGTCAAATTTAAGAAACAACCCACTGTTAGAAGGCTGAATGGCTACGCTTTAAAATGAATGTAAACTTTAACGTTTTCGTCTATTATTTGTTTAGTAATTTACATTTCAGTCGAGGATTGCGCTTTTTTTGATACACCCTGTATATCC